CCAAGGGGCAGGTAAGGCTGCCTTTTTATGATTTAGTCCCCACCTTCACCAGGTAGACATGAGCCACCTGTTGGGAGGTCTGGGCCTGCAGGATCAGGGTCTGGGTTTAGCAGAGAGGCCACCTCCCAGAGACCCGTGTGCAGGCCCCTTGGCATCCCTGGAGGACGCCTCCTGTCTACCACACAAAGATGTCGAGCAACAGCTCCCATACAAGCTTCTTCACACGCAGCAGATTTCTGACTGTGATCTTTAAGGAACCTTTTCACAGCCACATGGCAACCACGGGTCCCACTTTCATTGCACGTCCCGGCTGCATTAGGACCTCCTGCCCTTCACCGGCAGGTTTGACAGCCCAACGGGGAGGCGGCAGAGTCCCGCTGTGCCAGCTCATGGGGGCCCTCACACCAACCTGGGCAGTGCTGTGACCAGTTTTAATGAGAAGGCACCTGGGCGTCTCTTGGTTCTGGAGTGAGGAGCCCCCGGTTTCTGGTATGGAATCTGGCTGAATATATTTCGCAGAGGCTGGCGCCAGCAGATAGGAAATTGGGGTGACTCCAGCTGCATTCTTCTGTCCTCACCTCCACCACTAGAAAATACCATCCAGATAAAGCCAAGTACATGAAAATATCAGGCTGCCTGGCTGACAAAGGTGTTCCCCAAAGTGCAGCCTGAGTGGGACCTGGAAGAAGCAGCCTGTCTCCCCTCTCCTCCTCTCTCCTCCTCCCCCTGCCTCCCTGTACCCCCTTTTCCTCCCTCCCTCTCTGTTCTCTCCCCTCCTTCTTCCCTTCTTCCTCCTGGCCCCCTCTCCTCCTTCTCCCTCCCCCCATAGCACTCTCCTTCTGTCCTTGGCTTCTGAGTCACTTCAGCTGCTTTGGCCTGAGGCTCACAGCGCCTTTCCCAGCAGAGGCAGTCACCCAGATCTGTTCCTCTCTCGCTGATTCTGCAGTGTCTCAGAACTATCTGTCTGTCAGGACAGGTGCTGGCTCCTGGGAATACAAGGAGTAACTGGAGAGATACGCTGTCCACTCTTAGACCAAACAGTGCCTGGGTAATCGCCCCCCAGGATGGCTTTGCTGGGACGAGCCCCTATTCCTGAGCCCTGGTTTGTAAGTCTGTTCCCTGGCTCAGGCTCCACCCAGGGACCTGCATTTTCTGAAGAGCCACCCAGGTGACCATGATGTAGCGGGGCCTGTGCTAATCTGACACTGGCTTTTTACCCAGAGCTGTGCCCAAAGCCACCTCTTCCAGAATGTTGAAGAAGGTATATATAGATATATCCTCAAGAGGTTAAGAAGTATAGCCTCTTGGGGCAGGACCTTAATTACACCTGCATTTAGGATTGGGAGTTTTCAAACTCTACTCATAGAGTTTGGGGGAGATGGTTGTACTTACCTGAATTTTTCACATGCTGGGTCATTGCTCTATGGAACAGTGCATGGACACCAGTGCTGCTCCCGTTGCCCTTCTCCGCAGATGGTACGGCCGGGCCCGCCTCTGCCTCCAAGCACGTGTGGCGCTGGCATTTCTCCACCACTAGGCTGGACCTGGCTTTGGCTTTCCCAGAATGAATCACCCCTGTGGTTGGCTGCTTTTGGCTGTGCGATAACACACTTGCTCTCCCTGGATCAGGGGTAGGAGGGGAAGCATGTGCCATGGATACCATGTGGTTGCGACCAACAGAGCCCATCTAACACGGTTTAAGGAAGACAGATTTCAGTCAAGGAGGACAGACCGCAAAGATGCAGGGGCTCTCACGTGACTCCAGCAGGGTGCAGAGCCAGGCGTGTCAGCAGATGGGAAACTGAAATCACCCCATAGCCCCACCCCATGGCCTCACCCTCCCCTGCGCATCTGCCTCCTTTCTCTCACAGTCACCCCAGTGCACAGCCCACCAAGCTGCCCCCCACATGGCAGCCTGAGCTCTCTAGATGATTGGGACAGCCAACTCTGGTTCCCAGCACTGTCTCGATTCCAAGTTTCAGGCAAAAGCATACTTCAATTCACTCACTTTGGGATCTGTGCTCATTCCTGGTTCAGTTAGCTGAGGCCAGAGAATAGGCTAGCATGTGCTGTCCCACTGGGTGGACTGCTTCCACACCCCTAGCCCCCTACCCCCACTTCCCCACCCCACCCCCTATCCAAGAATAAGGACAGTGAAGAGTTGCTGTCCCTGGCAGAGCTGGTGGCACAGCTGCACCAGTAGGGGCAGCATCCCTCACACAGTGGCTTATTGGTGTGAGATGGCTGAAAAAAGCATGGCTGGTCCTTGGAACAGGAGGGCAAGAGGACATTGTTTATTGAGCACGTGTTCTGCCCATTGGTGCATTGCACTTCTTTAACGGGGGTTCTTCTCACATAGCATGAGATCCATGGCAGCACCAGCTTTCAAGCACTGCTGCCTCTCCACATGGGTACCACAAGCTCTTTCTTGGAGTCAAACAGTCGGACAGTACAATCAAAGTCAAGCTCAAAATCAGGTGTCCATAGTGAGCTAAGACAGGGCTACAGTTCAATCCCTGGGAATTGCACCAAATAGCTTTGGCCATCCCGAGTTCTGTGGGACATGACTTTTTTGCCCAGATAAGCATTTTGAGAGCCTTTCTACCTTTGCTATGAGATTTTACCAGCTCCTCCATGAAACCCTTTCTGACAAGTACAGTGAAACAGCAGGACCAAAGTCAATTGCTTTGAAATTGGGCCTTGCTTGTGGTGCAGGGGTTAAGTCTCAGCACTATCAAGCCACTGTGGCATTAGTTCAATCCCTGGCCAGGTAGGTGACCTACATGGTGCAACAGACCTCTCCTGACTCACCCACTGCTGCCCTCAGCAGTGTATTTCAATAGATACTCCTGGTCTGCCCCACTCTGTATCTAGTGAATCCTGTCACCCCCTGTACTTCTGGCCTGTAACCCAGCTCTTGTATGCATAAATATGTAAAAATAAATCTTAAAAATAAAGAGCTTTGAAGTTGTCTGGGTCATGAGCTCAGATCAAGTCACTAGGTCCCTACAAGCCTCATCTCTTAAATGGGGATGGCCCTGCCTCTTTCATGGTACTGGGAGTGGGCGGCATTCAAGGTGCATGGAAAACACTTGGTGCTTGTGTTTGCCACATAGCAATTGCTCAATAAATGGCCCCAATAATTATAAGACTATGAACTTCTTGAATGCAGGAAGTCTGTTGGGTGTTAGTCTACACACTACAGCACCAGTGAAATGCCCCAGATGTGGTATGTGCAGAGAAAATATTTGCTCAATGAATTATACAAGAGTAACCATAAAGTCTGGAAATAGAGGTAAAAAGACATAATGAAGGATTTGTTGCACTACACTACAATCCATGATGTAACCCAATAGCATACAGCACAATATGTAATGTGTTATCAATGTGCTGTCCCTCATCAGCAGGGCATGGCTCCATGCTTCCTACAAAATTACAGCAAACATAGTAGATCAATAGAACATTTCCATCCAATCCTGCACATCGCATCCATGATGCAATTGAGCCAACTTGTCTTTCTGGTCTACCTTAGAAGAAATAATCTAGGGGATTAATAAATAGATGCACAAAATGCTATTCTTCTTTTTCCTGACTTTATTGCCATCCTAGAGGTACTTTTCATCTCTCCCTCTTGGTGCCCCTTCTCTGTGGGCTGAGTTTGCTCTATGGTTCATAACTGCCCCAGCGTCGCCCAGTGTCTCCCAGTTTGAGTACCAGCATTTACTTTGGCTCTTGTCCCTTCTCTGAGGATCAGCTACCTGTTCCTTTTTCTCCTGTGAGAACTTGGAGATTTGACCCCTTCCACTTCCCCTTCTGCTCCCTGTAGATCCCATCTCCTTCCTGAGGCAGCTAAAAGATGTTCCTTACCCCTGAGCCTCTTGGAGAGCTTCATAAGTGCTCATTCTATCACACTGCTATCAACAGACATGCAGTGAGAGCTGGTTCGTTTGCAGACACCATAGGCTGTCTGAGACTGACCTTGTGCAAGCTATGAGGGAACTGGGTTGTCCTAGAGGCTTTGGGTCCTCTGGTTTGTCTTAAGCTAAAATTTAGTTTTGTGGAGAGAAGAGTGAAGGAATTTAGGCCTTAAGGGAAGCATCTGGATTCCAGAGTAGAAATCACCTGTTATAGTGGTGTTTATGGAGAGCTTCCAGTACTGATATCTTTTTATTTTTAAAGATTTATTTATTTATTCATACAGAACTGGGGTACAAGCCAGAGATGTGGAGGGTGAGAGGATTCACCAGAGACAGAGTGGGGAGCAGAACAGGCTGACTGACGAAGAACACTGCTGAGGGGAGCAGTGGGCGGGTCAGGAGAGGTCTGCCATGCCATGTGGTCACCTCCGGGGCAGGCGGGGATTGAACTCATGCGGAAGTGGCTTTAGCTTCTTAGTGTTGTGCTTTAACCCGCTGCGCCACTAGGGAGGGCCCTCCAGTACTGATATCTTAGTGACGTTGGTGCTTCATTTTATTTTGAGATATAATTGGCATATAACATTGTGTAAACAAGGTATATGATGTGTTGATTGGATACATTTCTATATTGTAATATGATTACTGCCATAGCATTAGCAAACCTCCTCAATCACATCACATAGTTATTTCATTTAAGATTTAACATTTAAGATCTACTCTGAGCAACTTTGAAATATAGCGTACAGTATTGCTGACTATAATCATAATGCTATGTGTCAGAATTACAGAAATTATTTATCTTCTAGTGCAAGTTTGTACCATTTTCCAACGTCTCCCTAACTCTCTATCCCCTTGCAACTACCAATCTACTCACTGTTTTTACAAGTTTGGCTTTTGTAGATTCCACATGTGAGTGAGAACCTGTGGAATTTGTCTTTCTCTGTCAGATTTACCCTCCTTAGCATAATTCACTCAAGGTTAATTTATGTCACGATTGGTAGGCTTTCCTTCTTTTTCATGGCTGCTTAATATTCCCTGGTATGTACATTCTGCCTGACTTTAGCTGCTTTCTCTTCCCTACAGGACACCAGCCATGATTGGCTGCTCCTTTGTGGTCAACAGGAACTTCTTTGGTGAAATTGGTCTTCTGGACCCAGGCATGGATGTATATGGAGGAGAAAATATCGAACTAGGAATCAAGGTTGGTGACAGAGTATTTTTTCCACATGGCTGTTCATATTTGTGAGCAGACCTGCCTGGTCATCCTTAATGTATATTAAAGCATCTTTCACTGTTGAATGACAAAGTCACAAACTCCATCCCACTCATAAGGATGCTCTAAGCTTGCCATTGCTGCTTAGTTGGTTGGGGAAAGTACCTTTTCCCTTAAACAATTTTAATCCATAACTGGGTACAGCACTCTGAAAATTAGCCAAAAAATTAGCCTTCAACTTTCACTGAGTTTCAGCCTCTCCTTAAATTTTTCTGAGAATTATCTCCTTAATTAACGTTTTCATCCTATGTATTTTGATAATACATGTATCATAGAGTTCTAGGTGATGGAGGAGAAAGGGGCACGGTCGGCAGGGCACTCTCCCTTTCTCAGCAATGCTTCCAGGAGAGGGTGATGCAGAAGGGAAGGAGGAGGACACTGATCATGCTTGCCCCAACCCAGATCAAACCCACTGTTAGATATATGCAAGGTTTTCTAAAGAATGTGTTTGAAAACAGTATCCCACTTTAAAAAAAAAAAAAGTTAGAAACCAATCATTCATTTTAGTGTCTTCACTTTACAGTTAAGGTGAATGAACCCAGGGAAAGATGGGGGTGCTCCGTTAGGCCCCAGGAACCACTTTGCAGTGGGCTTGCTTCTCCTGCCTCATGAAGCTTCCTCTAAACCTTAAAGAGTGGGTGCTGGAAGGACACTCAGCTGGGGGTTCTGGGCCGTTGGTTAGAAACAACTTAGGATTCAAATGTAAGATTTAAAGTTTCTTGAATTTTTTCCTCCTTCCTCTGTTACATCCTCATTTTTATTTTATCAGACAGACACCCAGGGCAGAACTCTTACCTCTAGTCAGTCTGCTCCCTGTGGCTGATTTGCTACCCTCTGAGTCCCTCATCTATGCTTGAGACTGGTCTGTGAAGCAAAAGTTCAGCTGTCATGGTTTAATGAATGAACATCCAGGTTGTATGAGCAAAGGTCCAGAATCCAGACGACATTTTCTTCTTCTGGTGCTTCCATTCAAGGCTGGCTTCTTTTCTCCATAGAATTTGCATAGGATTTCTTTGTAAAGCCCAGCAATTAAGAAGTCTGTGAATATTCTACATAGCTAATATATTTGCCATACATCCATTCTGAATTTTGTTGAAGGAAATTATCTGCACCCAGCATGGTGAGCTTGGCCTATTACTCAAATTTCCACTCTGCTCCTATCTTCCCCTCCCTCGTGGGCTGCTCTGCTTTTCCCCTTTAACACTTACTCATCAACTTCTAGCATACTGGAGAATTGATTTATATATCATGTATTTTTTTCCTATATCCCCTGCATCAGACTGCTAATTTAGGGGACGCATACCCTTGTAGTGCTCACCTTTGCCTCCCACGCTTGTAGACCATGCTCGGTATGTGACTCTTAGGTATCTACTAGGATAATGATTGAACAAATGCCTAGTGGGAACTTTATGTGAGCAAATGGTGGCTGGACTCAAGATCCACATTAGTACTGTCTACAGTATCCTAAGTTTGACCTCATGGGAACTTGTTACAAATGGACCTTCTTAGACCCCATTAGACACACTGAACCACAAGCCCTGGGCCTGGAAAAAGGGGTCCAGCAGCCTATGTACCAAGGCCTCTATGTGATCCTATTACCTGCCCATGTTGGAGAACCACTGCTTTACAGCCCACCTTAGCCAACTTCCTGGCCATCAGGAACCAGGTGAAAGGCCACACATCCTTCCAGGCCCTCTGCTAGGTGCCTCTGGCCACAGTGAGCCTTTTCTTGTCACTCCCACGCAGCATGTCGCCCCCTAGTGACCAGCACCTACTTTGTCCTTGATTTAAAGTGCTGGAGTCTGGCCCTGTGGCTGTGAGGGCCTCCTTTTCACATGAAGTAATCTACACCAGTGCTTTGTTTCACAATCCATTCCTTCTTTCATTTTATACTGTTAGGAGCTCATAAATAAGTGAATAGTAAATACATTAGCAAAGCCAGGCCTGCTCCTTGAAAAAAATCAGTTTTACATAATACACACACATAGAATTTTTCGCATAATATGATAAACAGACATTCATACAAATTAAATCCGATGGTTACGTGGCAAAATGTTCTTAAGAGCACGTAATTCTTTCTTTGTGTTTTTTTTCACCAAGAAAAATAGGTCCATCTGTGATCTTTCTAACTGCATTCTGAAATTTCTGGTGACTTTTTGATGCCATGCTCAGTAAGTAGAGATGTGTTACAAGAATACAAAATCTTGCCCTGGTTCAGGAAAACACAAGCAGAGTTGACCCCAGGGCTGGTGCTGGGATGAAAGGCAGTTGTGACCAGGACGATCAATACAGTGAAGGGAAGACAGGTCTTCAGGACTGAGAAAGGAAATGAGAGTAGAGATTAAAAGGCTTCTTTGTGTTCTGAGTAACACTGATCAGAAACAACTAACCACGTATATTGTAGTAACATGGCTAACTAATAAGAGAAAAATGTTCTCCAAGGAGAGAAGACCAGCGAAATGTCTGTACTGGTATAAAATCAGATGGCTTCAGATTTCTTCAGTACATCTGTCTTCTTTGGGCATACGCTTTGCTTCTGACACACATGCCTGCAGCAGCCTGCTCAGCAGCCATTCCCATGGACACAATAGAAAGACAATGTTCAGATCCTAAAACTATCAGGAAATGTCTTAGCTCAGTCATGTGCCTTCAAGAGTACATAAAAGTAGAATCCCTATTGTTGTGAAAAGCTTTGTGAGACCAAAGATCCATGAAGGGATAAGTAAATGAGGGTGCCTGGGAGTACGTGTGTGAAGAATTTCTTGCCTAATCCTACCCAGTCCAGAACTTCCCCTTTGGTGCAGCTTTTAGGTGCATTCTGCAATTCACAAGTGAAGTGTTGAAACCGTATCTCGGTGAGTGACAAGCATTTTAATTTCAGTGGAGTAACAATGGTGTTTTACAAAAGCAAGGCTTGACCTGAGCACCACCATTACTGGCTGCGTAGTTTACAACTGAAACACAGGCTGGGGCCACCCTGCTTTCCTGAGGAGTGGACCACCCAAGTGGACCCAGCTTTGCCCCCTTTTCTTGCCCAGTTCACTCAAGATTAAGGCACTGAAGACCTGCAGTGTTACCCCCGGCTGAAACTATCACAGTTCTGAGCTAAACTATCACAGTATCTTCAGCAGAGATTTGGAAACTTGACTTTTCAGAGTGTCCTTTAGAAATTATAGTTTGTCTGGGGTGCCCAGAGCCCCAGAACCTGATTGAACGTGGAATCTCCCACTCATACTTGTCTCTTCACCCCATCTCATTCATAGCTTGCTCCTCACCTTGTCTTGTGTTTCTGACAAGCTGGCGGTTTCATTCAGTTTGAGTCTGAAGGCCTGAGAAATGGAGGACTCAGATGGTAAAACGCCCATCTGAGCCTATAAGTCTGAAAACTTAAAGCCAAGGGCATAGAGAATGAACAGAGACACGAAACAACCCTAGCCCCACTCCCATCTCTCCTCTGTCCATGGGCCTGGGGCCCATCATCCAGCATTTGTCTGGACCAGGGTAGAGACCCCTGCCCTTCCTGAGATCCCTGACATCACGATTCCCGGGCTGGACACACCTTGTGACATTTGTCTTCTGTTTGGAATTCTTGAGCTCGGTCAGCTGCCTCTACTGAACCTTGAGATTCGAGTGGCGGTGACTCCAGGAAGGGCCCAGGGCATGGCGTCTTTTAGTTTCCCGATGGCTTGGAGGTATGTGAGTCTGTGGCTCTCCTTTCCCGCTGGCTCTGGTCAGCTCTGGTTGGTGAATGTCTTCAGAATGTACAGGGTGAGTGTATATCTTTGACAAAACTCAGAGCAAAGCCCCTGGTCCTGTCTGGGGAGAGGACATGTCTTGGGGTTTCATGATTTCACAGACAGGTCTCCAACCTAGACGTCTCTAGTACAGGCCACCAACAGGTCAGACTTGAATTTAACGAAGATCGTTGCGTGCCTTCCTGTCTGTAACTGTTGCTTCCACTGGTAAATCAGCAGAGAGGCCTCATCTCCAGGAAATTTTGATCAGGCAGAAAAGTCATTCATTTAACAAATAATTACCAATATGTTGTGGATGAAAAGACATTCTCTGTGGGAGAATCTAACAAGGGAATAGAAGCTGCTCTAGGGAGTTGGGAAGAGTCTCCCTAAGGAAATATTACTTAAGACTTTCAGAATGAGTTGAATTTAGATAAGCCAAGAAGGCATGAGAGAAGAATGTTCCAGGCACTTTTAGTTATGAAACTTGAGACTCACTATCCTCATAGTGTCTGTAGGAATGCTGTAGCTAAAAATGAAGAGGGCAAGTCTTCCAATAAGTGTCCTTATCACAAAACAGTAATAATGATAACAATAGTAATGTTAGCAATGATAACGATGAGTGCACAAGGAAACTTTTAGAGGCAGTGGCTATGTTTGGGATATGTTTATGGTGTAGACTGTGTTGATGGTTTCACAGCTGTGCACTTATTGCCAGACTTATAAAGCTATAGCCATTAAATGTGTACTGTGGCTTGTTGTATGTCCACAACACTTCAATAACTGGTTTATTTGAGAAATAAAAAGAGTACTCCAGGCAGAAGAAAGCATGTGCAAACGTTTGGACATGCAGTCTGGGAAGGTTCCAGAGTGTAGAGGACTAGTAGATTATGGAGGAGAGGAATTTGTATTTGACTTTTTCTTAACACCATAAGGGGCATTAAAAAATGCATAATGTAGATATGTGTATGTACATGCATGTGTGTGGAGTCCATGTACCCACCACCCAACTCCTTTGAAGAGATGTAAGCATGAGAGTTTATCAGACTTAAAAAAAAATATTTATTTATGCATGCAGAACTGGGGTACAGGACAGAGGTGCAGGGGCAGTGAGAGGATTCACCAGAGACACAGTGGGGAGCAGAACAGGCAGATCGACAAGGTACACTGCTGAGGGGAGCATCGGACGAGACA